CTCCTAGTGCCAAAAGCAAGCTTACTCCCCAAAGCCCCCCTCGTGGGGTTCTTTTTTTTTTTTTTTTTTTTTTTTTTTAAAGATTTTATTTATTTATTTGATAGAGAGATCACAAGCAGGCAGAGAGGCAGGCAGAGAGAGAGGAGGAAGCAGGCTCCCTGCCGAGCAGAGAGCCCGATGCGGGGCTCGATCCCAGGACTCCGAGATCATGACCCGAGCCGAAGGCAGTGGCTTAACCCACTGAGCCACCCAGGCGCCCCGCCCCCTCGTGGGGTTCTTAAAAGCCCTCCCAACACACCCGCACGCACAATGGTAGGGGCACAAAAGGATCTTAAACACCCTCTAACTACAGTATCTACCCCATTAGTATGGGCTGTTTAAAAACCCATTCAGTTAGGGCCACCTGGGAGGCTCAGTCGGTTAAGGGTCTGCCTTCGGCTCAGATCATGATCTTGTAGTCCTGGGATCGAGCCCCAGGTTGGGCTCCCTGCTCAGTAGGGAGTCTGCTTCTCCCTCTCCCACTCCTTCTGCCTCTCCCCGTACTTGTGCTCTCTCGCCCCTTCTCTTGCTCTGTCAAATAAATAAATGCAATCTTTAATAAATAAAAATCAATTGACTGGGCAGTGCAGTCGGTTAAGCATCCGACTCTTGGTTTCAGCTCCATGATATTGGTTTCAGGCCATGATCTTGGGGTGCTGGGCTTGAGCCCTGAACTGGGCTATGCCCTCACTGGGGAGTCTGCTTGAGACTCTCCCTCTCTCTCTGCCCACCCCCACCCCCGGTCTAAAATAGATAAATCTTTTTTTTAAAAATGCATTCATTCATTCAGTAACTACTGGAGGAGTACAGGCCCAGTGGCTCGTGTCCCTACAGGATCAGGACTCAGAGCAGCCTGGGCAGGGAAGACTGCCTCGGGAGGCTCCGAAGCCCACACTCTTCCCATTGCGTTTTCCTGTGAGGGACTGGCAAGAGCTCCCCATGGTCTGTCCGCCCCCACTGAGGGCCATCTCCACAAGCCGGAGTTTCTCATAAGAATCTCACAGGAAGCCTGTGGGAAGGCAGCGTCATAGGCTAAATAGTGGCCCCCCAAAATACCAGGTCCTAATCCCTGGAACCTGTAAATGTCACCTTATATGGGAAAAGAGTCCACAGACGTGATTCAGTTAAGGATCTTGAGATGGGGAGTAGCGTGGATGATCTGAGCAGGTCACAAATGCAGTCTTTCTGGGAAAGAGGCAGAGGGAGGAGATCTGATGCAGAACAAAGAGGGTGATGTGAGCGCAGAAGGAGAGATGGAGTTAAGTGCTGAGGCCTCAAGCAAGGAGCACTGGCAGCCACCAGCCGCTGGATAAAGCGAGACAATGAATGGATTCCCTTCCTAGAGTCCCCTTGATTGTGGTCCCCGGAACCTGCTTTCAGAACCAGGAGGGAATATATTTCTGTTATTTTAAGCCACTCAGTTTGTGCTCATCTGTTAAAGCGACAGGAAATGGATCAGTGCCGATTCCAAGCACTCTTGCCCAGAGAGCTGGACTCAGCAGGGGTGCTTTCTGACGGGCAGCTGAGGGATCCCCACACCTCACTGCTCCCACGGACTGGAGAGGGGACTCAGAGCTTAACCCCTCAAATGAAGGGTTTTTAGTCTGGGGACTCATCCTTCACGAAATCCATAGTTGCATTTCAGGACTTCCACAAATTCCCAAGATCGTATGAACAACCGTGTGGGTGTGCACACATGTTCTTATTTTTTGCGGATGAGGTTTTCTCCAAATTCTCAGAGTTTACTGAAAAGGCTGAGAACTAACTGCCTGAACGAAGAACTACTGAGGGGTCCAAACTCGGTCCAGGGTGGGGTGGGGAGGAATGAAGCAATTTCTCCAACCGGGCCCAGCCTCCAAAGGTTTATACTGAGCCTGAAGGACAGAGAAGTCTTCATAAGAAGCAAACTGATTAAATTCTGATGTCTTCAAGCCTCAACAAGGCAGAGCCCAAGGCAGCCCCTACCCTACAGGAGCCCTGTGAGAGGGTGACAGGACATAGGCAGGGTATGTCCTCATTTCAGCGAGATAGTGCGTGGAACAGATTCTCTTTTGGGAACAGTAGGTAGGCCACGTGACCAGAAGAACCCGGGATCCAGGCAATCGCAGGTCAGTATCCACACGTACGCCAGAAGAACCCACAAAGAACCAGCAGGCCGGGCCTGCAGACTGTGGGTGTTTTTTATAGCCTACGAGAAACTCGGCTACTATATTTTTTCTTTTTCCTTTATTTTTTAAAGATGTTATGTATTTGAGAAAAAGCGAGGGAGATTTTTCCTTTTGACTTAACCTTTTCTTTTTTTTTAAGATTTTTTATTTATTTATTTGACAGAGATCACAAGTAGGCAGAGAGGCAGGCAGAGAGAGAGAGAGAGAAGCAGGCTCCCTGCCAAGCAGAGAGCCCGATGCAGGGCTCGATGCAGGGCTCGATCCCAGGACCCCGAGATCATGACCTGAGCTGAAGGCAGAGGCTTTAACCCATTCAGCCACTCAGGCACCCCTTAACTTAAACTTTTAATCTTGCCTTAGTTGTCTTAATCATTTCCATATTTTGATTTTGGCCCCTTCTGTTGAATAACATATTTTCATTTGACTTCTACTTATTCTATTGCTTCTTTTTTTTTTTAAGATTTTATTTATTTATTTGACATAGGGAGAGGGATTACAAGTAGGCAGAGGCAGGCAGAGAGAGAGGGGGAAGCAGGCTCCCTGCCAAGCAGAGAGCATGATGTGGGGCTCGATCCCAGGACCCCGAGACCATGACCTGAGCCGAAGGCAGAGGCTTTAACCCACTGAGCCACCCAGGCGCCCCTATTCTATTGCTTCTTTAATGTCTCTCTCTCTCCTACTGGACTGTAAGCACCATGAATGTAGGGACTTGATTGTTTTTCTTAAAAACGTGTCCTCAGAGACACCTGGGTGGGCAGTTAGATAAGTGTCTGCCTTCCGCACAGGTCCTGGAATCGAGCTGGTGTCCGGCACCCTGCTCAGTGGGGAGTCCGCCTCTCCCTCTGCCCCTCCCCCTATCCTGCTCATGTTCTCTTTTGCACTCTCTCTCAAATAAATAAAATCTTTAAAAACAACAACAACACGGGCACCTGGGTGGCTCAGTGGGTTAAAGCCTCTGCCTTCAGCTCAGGTCATGGTCTCAGGGTCCTGGGACTGAGACCCGCATCTGGCTCTCTGCTCAGCAGGGAGCCTGCTTCCTCCTCTCTCTCTGCCTACTTCTCTGCCTCTTCGTGATCTCTGTCTGTCAAATAAATAAATAAGATCTTTAAAACAACAACAACAACAACAACAACAACAACAACAAAAAACCTGTGTCCTCAGCTTCTAGCCTGACATACCTGACAAATAGTGTTTCATTTCTCCTGTGAGTGGTCAGAACTTTAAACATAAATTAATCTGTAAAATAATGTAGCCACTTTGCAAAACCTCTGGCAGTTCCTCAAAACCTCAAACATAGTTACCAGGAGCCCCAGCAGTTCCACTCCTAGGGACACGCCCAAGAGAACTGAAAACCTTTTACATGAATGTTCACAGAGGCATTATTCATAATAACCAAAACGAGCAAACAACCCAAGCGTCCGTCAACTGATGAACGGATAAATAAAATGTGATGTATCGACACAATAGAATATTATTCAGCCATAAAAAGGAAGGAAGTTCTGACACAGGTTATAGCATGGATTAACCTTAAAAACATTATGTGGAGTGAAAGAAGAGATAGAATTTCCAGAACAGAAACACCTGGGTGGCTCAGTCTGTTAAGCATCTGCCTTTGGCTCAGGTTATGATCCCAGGGTTCTGGGATGGAGCCCCACATGGGGAATCCTTGCTCAGCAGGGAGCCTGTTTTTCCCTCTGCCTGCTGCTCCCCCTGCTTGCGAGTTCTCTCTCTCTCTCTCACACACACACACAAATAAATAAAACCTTTCACTAACTAAATAAATAATAGAATTTCCAGAACACAAAAATTGTAGAGACAGCAAGTAGATTTGTGGTTGCCTAAGGCTGCCATTGTGGAGGGGATGGTAATTTCTAAGAGTACTGGCTTCTTGGCAAGTGATGAAAATGTTGTAAAATGAGATAGTGGTGGTGGTTGCACAACCCTGTGGACACCCTAATAACCACTGAATTGTAAACTTTAACAGGGTGAATTTTGTGGTATATGAATGAGATGTCCGTAAGGCTGCTATTTAAAAAAACAAACAAAAAGAACCAAAACAAAAAAAACAAAAAAAAAAAACGAAAAAAAAAAAAAACCCTAAATGATAGGGTCACCTCCTTGTTTAAGCAAATTTACTAAAATCAACGAGGAAATTTTAAGATGATCATAGCTTGTTTTCAAGTACAGCTCTGTGTGTACCAGCATTGATTGTGTGGCAATGTGGCTGGAGGGGACAGCAGGATGGCCAAGACCACCGCCCTCCTCGGCTCGCTGGGGCACCTTCCAGGGTGACTGGAAGTCTGGCTTGGGGACTGCGGGGCAGGAGTGCGTTGTGTCCCTCTACCTGGCCCCCCACCACCCCCGGTCCATTATACCCTAGGATCAGACCTGCCGCTCCCGCCCGGAGCCGCAGCACCCAAGCGCTGCAGCAGGCGCGAAGTAAGGTGTATTGTTCGGCTCAGAAAATGGAGTGCATTAGTGAGCGGACAGAGTGCCTTACCGTGACCCCCCTCGGCTCTGGCCGCCGGGGCGGGGGGCGGGGGGAGACCGCGAGGGCTCCGTCCGGGCGCGGCTGTCGGGCGCCGGGGGCCGCAGCCTTTGTGCGGAGGCTGCTGCCGGCTCCCGCCGCTGGGGGGCGGCCTCCGGCCCGCCGACCCCCGACAATAGCGCGCGGGGTGGGGAGCCGCGCGGTCCCGGAAACTTTTCCCTCGCGCCGCCGCCGCCGCCAGCGCCCATCTCCCGGCCGCGGCCGTGTGCTCAGCCGGGACCGCCGCCGCCGCAGGGGGCACCGTGCCGGAGGAAGGGGGCGCGGGGCGGCCGCGCGGGAGGCCGGGGCCCGGGCCGGGCGGAGCGGGAGAGCCATGGGGGAGGCGGCCAGCCCCGCGCCCGCGTCCGCGCTCTGGGACTGGGACTACCTGGACCGCTGCTTCGCCCGCCACCGCGTCTGCATCTCCTTCGGCCTGTGGATCTGCTCCTCCTCCTGCTGGATCGCCGCCCACACGCTGTAACAGGGACTGGACCGGGCGGCGCGGGGGTGGGGGCTGGGTCGGCCGCGGGGGGCGCGGGGCGCTAACCTCCCCCCTCCCCCATCAGCTCCCTCCTGGAAACCTGGAGGGAAGGGGGCAGAGAGGGAGGAGGCAGGAGGCAGCGGAGCTCCGCGATCTAAAGGAGCCTTCGGGGGCGGACTGGAGTCGGACAGGACTTCTTTCCGGATTCCGCGCACGGAGAGGCTGGCGCGGGGCCCGCGGGAGGAGGCTGGGTGGTGCAGTGCGTGGGGCCCGGGGCGGCAGCCGAGAGTCGGGGGTTCTATTGTCAGCGTCTCCTCGCCGACTGGCGGTGTGAGCTGGGCAAGCTGTCTGAGCCTCGATTTCCTCACGTAGATGGGGTTGATAACTCATGGGTCGGATGGCAGGATTAGATGAGTTAGTCCTGGTAAAGCTCTTAGTATCATTAGCGCTCATTAAACATCCTTATTACTGCTCCCGCCCTGCCACCGGCCTTTGGCAGAGGCAAGGACCTAGGACGAAGGCTCTCGGCGTTTCTGGCCTCCCTTTGCCCCAGGCCCTCTGATCTGCAAGGGGGACGGGCGAGGATCTGACTCTAACCACAGCCTTTGCCCTGTCCAGCATCTGGAGCCCGTTGGCCAGGTAGTCACCGTAACCTGGGTCCTAAGCTGGCTGAAGTCTGGCCCAGGATGGCCTCCAGGTCTCGGGCCACCCTGTCCCCAGCTGGTGCTACCCAAGTATTCCCTGGCAGAGAAGAAAGGAGCAGCACCCCAAGGGAGACCGTCAGCCACTCAGCTTGAGCACCCCGTGGACATTCCACTCCCTCGTGTGATATTGCTGTGGAAATTTGGCAGCGCCCCTACCCAGTCACTGGAATGCAAAACAAACAAACCAACCTTAGAACATTTACTGTGGGCCCAGTTTATTAACTCACTTCATTCTGTTATTACTCCCATGCACTCAGGGTTCTGGAGGTTCTGACAGGTTAACTAACTTGCGCAAGTGAATGGAAAGAATGGAACCCCCAGACCCTTATAGAAAGGGGCAGACTTGTGAGGATTAAACTGTGCAGCGGACACTAATGAGGCAGCCTACGTGCTTTATTAGACATTTTCCTGACCTGGAAGCTCGGGTTGGGAGAGGTTAGGTAACCGCCGCCCTCCCCCTGACCCCCGCAAATGCCCCCTCTGCTTTTTCAGCCCGCCTCCTGTCTGGACACCATCCTCCCTGAGCCCAGTCTTGTCTTCAGGGATTGTATGTCCTCCAAGCTGGGTGTGGCCTGGGGTAGGGTCCCCCGGGATCCCCCTCCCCTGACAGCAGGGAGCAAAGCCTCCACCTGTGAAGCCTGAGGGTCCACCATGAACTCACCTAGTCAGCATAGACCCATCTTTTCTCAGCTCTCCAATGTGAGGGTTGAAATCAATGCTTCTCATCTGAGTCCGAGGGTCTCTAGAGTCTTTGCTCTTAGACTTTGAATTGGTGTCAGGAGCCCAGAGCCCAAATGGAAGGTTTCTGTTCTCACTTCGAGCTTTGGGCTTTGCTGGCAGATCAGGAAACCACTGGGCACCCAGCAGCCTTCTCTCCTCCTCCATTGTTCCCCAGGGCAGGCCCTCAGAACCAGCCAAACAGTCCTGATGACGTGGAGTGAGTTACACCTTGTGGTTGAAGGAAATGAAACAAGAGCTGCAGGGGTGCCTCAGTTTCTCCGTAAAATGTAGCGCGGAAACTTCTAGAACAAAGTGTTTCTGAGAGATCTCTCACCCCTTCCAGGCTGTTGTGCCTTTCTGTGCTGATTCCGGGGGAAAGGGGCAGGGCAGGGCAGGAAAAGGGGAGTAAGGGAGAGAAGACAGCAGTGGGGGCCCCTAGGGAGAAGTCAGCCCAAAGTGTCATGGCATCTTTAAGAAGTTTTGTTCTGTGTGTGTGTGTAAAGAACATGCTTAAGTTAGGCAAGGGCTGGCAGAAGCCAGGCCTCCCCTCTGCACGGACAGACAGCTTTGAAGGATTTCACTTGAATTTGAAAGGAACAAGTTGCCTTTTTAATTTGGGCAATTACTTTTATAACCGGCATGTTTCCTTTCAGTAATCAAACCTGACAGTTTGTCAGCACTGAGTGGTAGGTCATGAACTTGAGTTGGCCTGATTTGTAGGAGGGAAGAAATTCCTCTTCATTAGAGAGGCAGGTCTGGCTCCTGCCGTGGGTTTGTGCTGCAGTCTTTGATCCTTGATTTTCCCATCTGTGAACCAAGTTCAAAAATACCTGCTGAATCCCTGGGGGAGAGAGTGCTTCACAGGGACACAAAGTCACAAGTGCCCTTTTCAGACACCTGCTTTGGGAATCCACTCTTGGCTGCTGTGTCCTGTCCATACCCATCCACTCCCCTATTTGTCGCTACAGGCTTCTCTATCTGAAGTGTGCGAAGAAATCCAGACGGGACCAGTCAGTGCTGTGCGCTGCCTGCTGCCTCCTCAGCAGCCTGTGTGACACCATCGGGGCCATTCTGGCCAGACAGCTCACGATCCAGGTGCGTCAGGCCCACAGGTGACAGTGGCTTCTATCTGGTTCCATCACTTTTGCCTCAGACCTGTGCCCTGTTGGTCTTTCTGCCCCTGTCCAGGGCTCTTGCCCTGATGACCACGTGGCTCACTGTTCAACTCCTTCGAGGCTTTGCTAGAGGTCAGCTTCTCGGTGAGGCCTCCCCTGAGCACTCGTGCAGACCCATGCCCTACCTCCACCACAGGGACCCCAGCCCCTTCACCCCGCTCTGTTTTTTCCCATAGCTGACCCTCAATACACCCTCTGCTTTCCTTACTTCCTGTGCTTGTTGCTTTATGGTATGCTAACCCCTACTAGAGGGTCAGCTCCCCAGGGGCAAGAGTTTGTACTCACTACTTTATCCCTGTCACTTCAAACAGCAGCTGGGACGGAGCAGATGCTCAGTAAATAGGGATGGTTGTGGTGATTGTGTTCAGAGCCTCAGCTCAACAGGGGCGGCTGAATGCTTTTCCCAAGCAGTGATGCAGGCTTTGGGGCAAGTGATAAACAATGTCAAGCTTGCCCAAGGTCTAAGCCCTTGGAAGCTGTGTAAACAGGACCTATCCCAATAGGCTGGTGCCCACCCAGGTGGATATGACGGAAGGCAGCCTCATGGCTGCAACACACACTGGGAGAGTTCTAACCTTCTTCGAATAATACTGTGTCACAAACAACCTTTTGTTTCTGGTGCCCATTCTCATTCGCTGATGGAATACAGGGAGGCCCAGCTCCATCCGGGTCATAATAGCTGACATTTATTAAATATTTCACTGTGAGGGGCCCCTGAGTGGCTCAGTCAGTTAAGCGTCTGCCTTCAGCTCAATTCATGGTCTCAGGGTTCTGGGATCAAGCCCTTGCTCAGCCGGGAGCCAGCTTCTTCCTCTGCCCCTCCCCCCAACTCATGTGTGCCGGCTCTCTCTCTCTCAAATAAATAAAATAAAAATTTTTAAATTTTTATTTTATTTATTCATTTGAGAGAGAGAGAGAGAGAAAGCACAAGCAGGGGGAGAGACAGAAGCAGACTCCCTGCTGAGCTGGGAACCCAATGTGGGACTTGATCCTAGAACCCATCGATTATGACCTGAGCCAAAGGCAGACGCTTAACCAACTGACCCACCCAGGAGCCCCTAAGTAAAATCTTTTAAAAATAAATAAGTAGGGGCACCTGGGTGGCTCAGTGGGTTAAAGCCTCTTCCTTCGGCTCGGGTTGTGATCCCAGGGTTCTGGGATAGAGCCCCGCATCGGGCTCTCTGCTCAGCAGGGAGCCTGTTTCCCTCTCTCTCTCTGCCTGCCTCTCTGCCTACTTGTGATCTCTGTCTGTCAAATAAATAAATAAATAATCTTTTTAAAAAATAAATAAATAAATAAATAAATACTTCACTGTGTACTTGGCACTGTGGGCTTGTCTCATATTACTTCATTTAATCCTCAAATTATCTTATGACCTGGGCTCTCTCCTTATCCCTGTTTTACACACGTGGATCCTCAGGCTTAGAGGTTGAATAACTTTTACAAGGTCCACTAAACAGCAGAGTCAAACTCCAGAATCTACTCTTTTATTTATTTTATTTTTTTGAGATTTTATTTATTTATTTTGAGAAGAGAGCACACATGCACACATGAGTGGGGGGTGGGGGCAAAGTGAGGGGAAAGGGGAAAGAATCCCAAGCAGGGAAAGAAGCTCCAAGCTGAGCAAGGAGCCCAACTTGGGGCTCAGTCTCATGACCCTGAGATCAGGACCTGAGCTAAAATCAAGAGGTGGACGCTTACCTCACTAAGCCACTGCAGAGTCTGCTGTGAACCAGTGACTCCACTGTCAGGGTAGCTGGTGCCTTGGTAGGTAGGAGACTTGTCCGTTCCTCGCGGTGCTGGTCTAAGCATTTTCCATGTATTGCTTCATGTAATCTGCTTAGCATTGAGGAAGGCACTGTTACTATCCCTATTTTACAGAGGAGGAAACTGAGGCCCAAAGAAAGCCAGTGGTTGGGCCAAAGTCCCACAGCAGAGACTGGCCATGTACTGGGAAGAACGTGGAGTGAGAAGGGCAGGGCTGGTTCTGCTGGTGGGCCTCTGCCCGAGGGATCGGTCACTCACACGCCACCCCCCGTGCCCCGCTCCTCGTCAGTCCAGTGGAGTTGATAACCAGCCTTTCCTGGGGTCAGTAGGTGGCTTCGTTGGGATCACCACAGTAGTGGGAGAGGAGACCCAGGATGAGAAGGGCTGCGGAAGCTGGAGAACGTTTGAGCACCAAGAGTCTGTCTCCTTTTCTCCCAGGTATTCACAGGTGCCTACCTCGCCGCTGCTGACTTGGTGAACTTTGTCTTCATCCTTTTCCCCATCTGCGGCTGCCAGTGGAAGTCTCATCGCGGTGAGTGTGTGGGCCTCGCTCCTGTGTGTTCATCCGCTCTCTCATCAGTGGGTCCTGTGCTCCTCGTCGTGCCTGAGCTGGGCCTCTGCTGGGCGCAGACAAAAGAATGAGCTCCTCGACCCCAGTCAGAGAGGAGGCACGGCCCTATAGAACCATCCGTGCCACTGGTGAGGCGGTGTGCACACGCCACGAGCAACCAGAGGGAAGGCGGGGCCCGTAGGCGTCAGGAAAGGACGTGACCGTGGAACGGGGGCCGCAGGGAAAGATAATCCAGGTGAAAAGGATCATATGAGCAAAGGCCAGGAGGTGGGATGGGACAAGGCTGGGGGGAGGTACAGTGCTATCTCACGGGCAAGTCCAGGATGGCCAAACAAAGCCACGTAACTTCCGGAAATGGATGCCAGGAGTGGGCGTGGGCCACCTTGGCCGAGGGGGGACTGCAAGTCACTGAGCGGGAATGGGTCACCCTGACTCTGTGGGTTTGGGCCTTCCTGAGAAGGGGCAGCAGGGAGCCCAGACCTGTGTCCAGAAAGGGAGTGCTTGCCTCAGTGGGGTGAGGTAAGATGTCTCCAGTTGCTCAGCACTGCCCAGAAGGGACATGTTCTTACTAGAATGTTCAGAGAACTGGGGCATCTGGGTGGCTCAGTCAGTCAAGTGTCTGCCTTCGGCTCAGGTCAAGATCCCAGGGTCCTGGGATCGTGTCCTACATCGGGCTCCTTGCTCAGTGGGGAGTCTGCTTCTCCCTCTGTTTGCCACTCTCCCTGCTTGAGCTCTCTCCTCTCTCTGACAAATAAATAAATAAAATCTAAAAAAAAAAAAAAAGAATTTTCGGAGGACTATCTGTCTTATATTTCAAGGAGACTTCCAAGACCGTGCTCCTTTTTTGCTCGGTTTTGGGCCCCAGCACCAGCATGGTGGTACTTTCCCTAAGGTTGGGCCAGTTCTGCTCTGTGCCAGGCTCTGTGGAGATTCCAGAAGCTGCTGGGGCATGGGCCCTGCCCTCGGGGCTTCTAGTCTTGCGGAGGCTACTCTGTGCACAGATACATGTGAAACACAGAACGCTATGAGAGGGCCGAGCAAGGAGAAGAGCACCAGTCGTGAGGGTGCATGGCCTGGGGTGGTAGGGAGGAGGGATTTCTCCAAAGAGGAGGCACAGCCGTGGGGCCTTGAAGGGTGGGGAGGATCTGGCCCACAGAACAACTTGGGAACCCATTCTGGCATCAGGGCTGGGCTGACAGCTGGTTTGCACATGTCGCTGTCCGTCGAGTTCTAGAGCCCAGGAGCCTGTGGCATTTTGCTGTTTGTTGCAGGTCGGGGCTCCCAGGAGAGGACGAGGAGGCAGCGGCTCAGGGCCAGTGTATTTGCTCTGGCCCTGCCGCTGAGCCTGGGACCAGGCTGGGCTCTCTGGGCCACCACCCCAAAGGCCTCAGGCCCTGTCCGTGGGTCCCAGCGGAGGCTTCTGGAAAGCCTGCTGCAGGTGAGGCTGAGCCCAGGAGGACATGGGGGTGGGTGTGTCCCTTCCCTCCTCATGGTCCCAACAAATGCTCTGGGTAGGGGTAGGGTTCAGGCTTGCCGTCATTGGGAGGAAACCACTAAAATTGGGAAAGGATGGGTCTGGGATGTATGGGCTGTCTCCTTAGGCCACTGAGTGTGTCACCTGTTCCCACAGGACAATACTGAAGTCCTCGGCTACCTGCTGGGTGGCATTGCTGTCTTTGGCTCCTGGGCTTCCCGGATCCCCCCGCTCTCCAGAATCGTGAGGCTGGGTCGGGGCTGGGACTGTGGGTTACCGTGGCAGGTCTTAGGGCCCTTGGGAGCCTCTTCCAAGCTCTAGGTCCTGGGGTGAAGGCTTGTGTCACTTGTGTATTTTGTGTGTATATGTGTGCATTTCCACACGTGCAGGGGCTGGTCAGCCAACGCAGGGGAGCTCATGAGGCCTGCTAGGACCTCTCACGGGAGAACCCATTGTGTTCTCTCCATAGCTAAGAAAAGCAGGCTGTCAGGGAAAAGGCACTGGGGTTCAGTAAACAGACATCCCATTAGGAAAATGAGAAGGTTTCAGAGGAGAGCATCACACAGCCACCAGGCTTCTGGATTTCCGGGAGCATCTCACCACAGAAACTTCCCGGGCATCTAGGCTGAGGGAAGCCCTGTGTTGGCCGGTTCTGGAGGAGACACAGCCGTGACTTGAGATGCTGTGCTCGCCCTTGGGAAACTCACAGTCTCGTGGAAAGACACAGAAATGCAAAGCAGGATATTTTAACGTTCAGAGAAAGAATCAAATGTTTGGGGTTTCAGAAGGAGAGAGGGCTCCCACACCGCTCCAATGAGTGAGGGTGAAACGTCACAAGACCAGGTGGGGGTGGGGGTGGGAGTTGGGGGCAGAGGGCGATGCCAGGGCTGCCTCAGCGTGGCTCCAAACCAAAGGGAAGCCTGGAGGAGGCAAAGGTGAGCGTAACGGGCTCCTCACTGCCTCTAAAAAAAATCACTTTCCCCAGAACATCATTTAATAGCAGTTCCAGGAGAACAGGATTCGGGGATGGCAGCTGCTTCATTGGTCATTTGTGGAAAGCAGAAGCCTGCGGGGCTGGCTGGGAATCCCCCGGGCATGCCGACTCCAGATCAGGGGAGGGAAGTGTGGGAACCCCTGGGACGTGGGGCTCGAAGACCTTCAGAGGGACGGGTGCAGTGCCTGCCTGTATCAGTGCCCTGGGGCCACCGTAAGAAAGGGTCACAAACTTGGGACAACAGACTTCAAGGTTCTAGAGGCCTGTAGACCAGTGTCAAGGTGTCACAGGCCCGAGCTCCCTCTGGAGGTGCTAGGGAAGGAGTTCTTTCAGGCCTCTTCCCAAGTTTCTGGAAAGTTCTTGGCTGATGGCTCCATAACTCCAGGGTTCTCACGGTGTTCTTTCTCCCTGTGTGTGTCCTCATGCGGCCTTCCCTCTGTACGTATCTGTGCCTCAGTTTCCCTATTATATAGACATGGTCATACTGAGCGAGGGTCCACTCTAATGGCCTCATCTGAACATGGTCATCTGCAAGGCCACGTTCACTGGTTCTGGAGGTTGGGAGCATTTTTTGTGAGGGGAAAACAAGTCAATCCCTGCATCAGGCACCTAACATAGCCCCATGACTGTGTCCTTCCTGTTGTTCATTTTATTCACAGCATTTGTCACAGCCTGAAGTTAGCTCCTTCAGTTATTAACCAAGTTGTTGGTCCCCAGTAGAACACAAGCGCCCTGAGGGCAGTGGTCTGGTCTGTTTCATTCCCTCTGTATTGCAGGTGCTTGGAGCCCACCCGTGGTAGGTGCCAGAAGACACTTGTTAATGATTGACCTAATCTGGTCTGGGAAAAAGGAAGCTTGTGGAAGCAGGAATTAGAAGGGCTTTCTCGGGGCAGAAAGAGCAGTGCTGTTCTCTGTGGTCTTGGGGAAAAGAACCAAAAGCAAGACTGGAAAGAGATTATGGGTTGGAGGGGCATCCCATTTATAATTTAGATGCTTCGCATAGTTTCTGGAATGTAGAAAGTGATCAGTATCGTTATTCCTGTTTTAGGAGGTAGTGGGCTCCCCATCACTAAAGGCATTCAAGCCTGATAGCCCTTGGCAGGCAGATAGAGTTAGGTCATATTAGGGATTAGATTGGGCAGTCTCGGAGGCACCGTCTCTGGTCCCAGGCAGAAGAGCCCAGTGCTAAGGAGCCCTTGTGAGGGAGAAACTCAGCAGGGTTTGGGTGTTCTGGGAAGCCTAGCCAGCATGGCTGTGAATGCTAGATCCCCTATAAGCTGCTTCTAATTTACCCCTGGTAGGGGTGCTGAGGAACAGAATGGTTGGGTGGCTTCGGTGGAAGAGTTTCCCATTCTTCCGGAAGTGACACACCCCCTGACCAGTATGGCCTCTGCGGCAGCACTGGGAGTGTCGCCGTTGCAGGATGCCCCACCTGCTTCCAACCCCTAGCGCGGGTTTGCCAGGAAGGCACGGGGCTGGACAATGCCCCTGGGTTCTCTGTGACCAGCCAGACAAAGCCTACAGGTGCTGAACCTGCCACATCCCGAGTCACCAAGCCTACCCCAACCTCGAGTGGGTGCTCAGCACCCACGGTGTGTCCAGCGTGCCAGCAAATAGAGCCCCACAGGCTCTTGTGCTGACAGAGAAGAGAGACTGAGTTTTGAGGTCAGTGGGAGCCAGGAGTGGGTGGACACATGAGTGACAGCAGAGAGCTCACCTGGCTTGGGGTCAACCTAAACAGCAGCAGGTGCAAGGTCAAGGGGCAGAAGGCAGGTCCCAGCGCTGGCCCTGCAAGTCACCTCCTCTCTCAAGCCCTCAGTATCCGCAGTAAATGGAGCTGGGCAGGCTGGGGGATCCCCCAGAAGTTCTCATCACAGCAGTGCAGACTGCTGCTTCCTGGGCTGAGTCAGGGGCGGCTGGAGGGTCAGGGACCCCCTGCCCCAGCCAGAGCACTGGCAGTCTCTATGAACCAGTCTTCCGGGCATGGCCAAAAAAAAAAAAAAAAAAAAAAAAACCAGGGAGCCCTGGGGAGCCAAACTTGAATAAATGCAGAGGGAAACGGAACATTCTCAAGCAGTCTTTTCCAGAGTTAAAATAAAATGGGGAAAATCATCCAAACCTTGCTTTTTCCTCTGGGTTTTTTTTTTTTTATTCTCTAATCATAGCCTGTATATCTCTAAATTCAGTTATTTAATAAGTGAAATAAATTATATGTAATCTATATTTATGTAAATTTAAATATACCATGTGATTATATATAATTATAAATATGTAGTATTTGTATATACCCATATAAATGTATATATAAAGTAACTTCATACCTGTAAAGGGTATTTAACAAATGAATATTGAATATGGGCTATTTGCCTTTTTTTTTTTTAATCAATATTGTCATTACTCATTCTCCAAAAATAAACCCTGACTTCAAAACTTCGAGGACCTTATCTCTAATGTTCCTGGCCTTTCCTGTCTGGCCAGATTCAGCACTGACAGTCTCAGGAAGAGACGTCAGTCCCTGGCTATTCAGAATTCTTCTAATTCCCTCCCATTCTCCCAGGTGACATTCATGAGCCCCTCCCCAGTGCTGGGTGTCAGGGATGCTGAAATGGGAAGGACGCTCTCAGGAGCCCTCTATCTGCTGGGATGCGTCATGTGTCATGGGGCCTGGAAGTGGGAGTTTCTCACCCCCGTTAGGGTGGAGGTGCTATGAGAGTTTTCTCAGAGTTGAGTTTAAGTTAAGTTTGAGGCATGAATAGGAGTTCACCAGGCAAAGGAAGCAGCTTGAGCAAAAGTGTAATTAAAGCAGCACCTTTAGGAACCAGCCATGGGCAGAGAGAGGGCTGCCATGCCAAGAGCCTAGGTCTTAGAACCCAGCTCTGAGGAAGCTGGGGAGTGACAGTGTTCCCCCCTGCCCAGCTCCCTCCTCTCTCTGTCCAGTGCCAAGGTAAGGCGTTTCCCTCCATCCACCTGTGGACCCGGCTCCTGTTGGCCCTGGCTGGCCTCCTCTATGCCTCGGCCATCGTGGCCCATGACCGGCGGCCCGAGTACCTGCTTCGGGCCACGCCCTGGTTCCTGACCTCCCTCGGTCGAGCTGCGCTGGACCTCTCTGTATCCACCTGGGGCCTCGGAGGCTCGACTGCTCGTGTCTCATCTCCTCCCTGTCCCTGTGGTGCCCTCTTTCCCTTTTGCTAGATGGAGCTCTCTCCCAGGGGCCAGGGACTAGGGTTGAGTCCTGGGGCAGATAGATGCAATTGCAATTATTTGCAATTTTGCATTTTGCTTCCTTGATGTACAAGTAAGAAAAGGAATGATCTCTTGGCTGGAGCACTGCGGAGCGGCAAGGGGGAGTGTGCAGGTTCCTGGCCCTGGGAGCAGAAGACCCATGCACCAGTCTCATTGCTGCTCCTCCCCTGGGCAGGGCCCCACCCTCCCAGAGACCCGTTTTCCTCATCGTTGCCCTTTCTCACAATGGGCTTTGCAAGCCAACCTGCCATGCAGGGCTAAGCATCCCCGTTCTCTTGTCTTTGGCACTGGAGCCTGGGCTGGGGACGCAGAGATAAACACTGACAGGGGCTGCCCTTTGTCAGTGACTGCTGAGCACCCTTCTGGTTCCCCAGAGGGTGTTACGTGACTCACGGACACCCCAGGGACCTTGACGTGAGAGCTTCAAGGGCAAGCTAAGCACAGATGGTGGGCAGATAGAGAGGTAGACAGTGGGTAATTTCTGTATGAAAACGTGTGGATTCATCATAAATAGTTTAGAAATAGTTTAAAATGGTGATTTTTCTCATGGACTGTATTTGTTTTCTAGGGCTGCCATATTCAGTTACCCGAAGTTGGTGGCTTGAGACAAAAGAAATGTATTCTCACAGTTCCACGGGCTACAAGTCCAAAGTCCACGCAGGGCCACACTCTCCTGGAGGCTCTGGGGGAGAACCTTCCCTTCCTCTTCCAGTTTCTGATAGCCCCTGATGCTCCTTGGCTCTGGTAGCATAATTTTATCTCCTGCCTCAGTCTTCACAAAACCTCTTCCCTTCGTTTATCTCTGTGTGTCCTCTGCTCTTATAAGGACTCTAGTCATGGGATAAAGGGTCCATCCTAACCCACTATGACCTCATCTTAAGTATATCAGCAAAGACCCTTTAAAGGGAAAAAAAAAAAAAAGATTTTATTTTTAAATAATCTCTATACCCAGCACAGTGCTCGAACTCAACCTCCCCCCGCCACCCCAGATCAAGAGTGGCTCATTCCCCAACTGAGCCAGCCAGGGCCTCCAAGACCCTATTTTTAAATAAGGCCACTTTCTGAATTTCCAGATGGATATGAATTTGGGCGGCGGGACACTATTCAACCCATTCTGTGTACTGTCCCTGTAAGCCAAGCCCTTCAAGGAAGATGTTTTCAAAATGCTTTTGTTTAATGAGTATTTGCTGAGTATTTACTAAATTCTAGAGGCAGGGTCTTGCTGGCTACTGGGTCCTTGCCAGGGATACGTAGAGAAAGTCAGACCCGGTTCCATTTTTTTTTTTTTAAGATTTTATTTATTTATTTGACAGACAGAGATCACAAGTAGGCAGAGAGGCAGGCAGAGAGAGAAGGGAAGCAGGCTCCCCGCTGAGCAGAGAGCCTGACACGGGACTCAATCCCAGGACCCTGAGACCACGACCTGAGCCGAACTTAGAGGTTTAACCCACAGAGCCACCCAGACGCCCTGACCTGGTTCCATTCTTAAATGAGCTCATGTCTGTTCTGGGGCCAACCCTGGCAGAATCATCCCATGAGGGAGAGAGCCTGGGCATGGGGGGGGGGCCCTCGGGGTGCAGAGGTGAAGGCAGCCATGGGCGGCTGAAGTGCTCTGCTTCCTTGGACCTTAACTCTCCCTCTCAGATCATATTCCTCTCCTGGGTGATGAAGAGCAAGATGAGACGGGCCTTGGGATTTGCCCCAGAAGCCAGAGAGAGCCCGGACACCCAAGCCCTCTTGACCTGCGCAGAGAAAGAGGAAGAAAGCCAGGAGGCAAGGTCTTGCCAGCTGGAAACCTGCTGGTCCCACGGGGGGCTGGATGTCCCTCGAACTACGACACTTGGGCACTTTAAAAAACTACTGTTTATGGAAAAAAAGAAAAAAAAAACGAACTGTTTTTGCCCAACACTAAAGGTGCCCATAGGATTCTCTGCTTTTCCAATTACAATGTATTTTTTTAAGTTTTTTTTGATCATTTAATAACTTTAATATATTTTTAGCAATGTAGATGGAATAGTCAAATGTCCATGTATGCTCTTTAGCAATTTACATCCATATATATATATATATATATATATATATATATATGAGTAAATTAACAGGTTAAATTAGAAATAATATGATTTTGCCCTCATAGTTTGGAGAAACACGTATTCCCACTTTCACATGCGTCCGTGACGTGTGCATCATCGCCATCACTAACACAGCCTTTTTTCAGTTGGTATTGCTAAAAGCTGGCCTTTCAAGGTGTTGTTTATGGTCGTTCTGCCATTTACAATTACGTCAAACCAGCACATGTGTTTGTCCCCTTTTACTGACTCGAGAAGGTGACCTCTGTAAGTAGGCAGAGCTTCTCTTCTAAGTGAGACAGTTTACCTTTGTCAAAAGTCTTTGGTTCCCAATAACTGAGAAGTCACCTCATGATACAGCAGTGCTTATAAGGACTGGAACAAAGCAGCCCCCACTTTTCTAAGATAACTTCTTTTTTTTTTTAAGATTTTCTTTTCTTTTTTTAAATATATTTTTTACAAGATTTTATTTATTTATTTGACAGACAGAGATCACAAGTAGGCAGAGAGGCAGGCAGAGAGAGAAGGGAGGCAGGCTCCCTGCTGAGCAGAGAGCCTGATGTGAGGCTCAATCCCAAGGACTCTGGGATCGTGACCTGAGCTGAAGGCAGAGGCTTTAACCCACTGAGCCACCCAGGCACCCCAGGATTTTATTTTCTAAGATAATTCCTTGAGGAAAGAAATCTTGCCTATTACCTGGGCTCCTCACTATCCTCGTTTTTCTCTCAGACAGCGTAAATGAGACTGTGAGCAAACTGGCCCACTCCTTCGAATGTTCTAGGTTTAACAAGGGAATCAGACTCAGTTCATGGAACAGAAGGTAGTGGGGCATGGCCAAGGTAGAGGAGTTGTTGTAAGTGCTCGGCCCAGAGCTCCATGTTCCCAGCAAGGTTCTAACAGGAGATTATTTTCATTCCCTTCTAGAAACTTAGGAAATTGTATCCCCAAAGGGAGCCAATGTGCTTAAAGAGAGCCCCGTGTGTCTTGGTGTTCTGAAGGAAGGAAGTAGAGCCTTTGCAATGTCTTCTGTAGGTTTTTTTTTTTATTATTTTTTAGATTCTATTTATTTATTTGAAAGAGATAGCATGGTGGGGGAGGGGGAGGGTCAGAGGGAGAAGGAGATTCCCCACTGAACAGGGAACCTAATGTGCGGCTCGATCCCAGGACCCCAGGATCATGACCTGAGCCAAAAGCAGATGCTCAACTGACTGAGCCACCAGGCGCCCCTCTTCTGTAGTTCTTTCCATGTGGTCCTCAACATGTGGTCCCTGGACCAGCACTGCCCACTGACTCGTTGGGGATGCAATTCTAGGGCTCCACCAGCTCCGCCAACTCTGAAGTGCTGAGGGTGTCTTAATGCGTCCATTGGATGCTTCTGACGCACACTAATGTCTGGGAACCACTGGTTTACAAAAGTATTTATTTAGTGCCTACTGCAGTGATTCCCAAACTTTGCCATGCTTTAGAATCATCTGGGGGGCTTTGAAACACCAGGTCACACCCCTACCAATGGATCAAAATGTCTGCTGGAGGTGGGCAGAGCTAAACATTAGCTTGTTTTTTTGTTTTTTGTTTTACGATGCTTGGGTGACTCTACTGTGCAACAAAGTTGGGGAACCACTGACCTACTGTGACCTCAAAGAAGGAGATAAGAGGGGATGCCTGGGTGGCTCAGTCAGTTAAGCATCTGCCTTCTGCTCAGGTCATGATCCCAGGGCCTGGGATGGAGCCCCACACTGGGCTCCCTGCTCAGCGGGGAGTCTGCTTCTCCTTCTTTACCCTCTCCTCCTCACTCTCTCTCTCAAACAAATAAAATCCTAAAAAAAAAAAAAAAAAAGGAAAGAGATAAGATAACATCTTCTAGGAAGCAGAAAGTGAAATGTAGCATGAAAGGACAGAAAAAATATTTTAGGGATTCTTTTGAACAAAATGGGACCTTGTTTTTGAAAAAATGTCTCCTGACTAAGAATTCTGTTTTTGTCTCCCCACCTCCCCTTAAAAGAATTCAGATTGGGTGCCTCTCACTACACTTCCACCCTGCAAATCACTCAGGACAATGGCAGCCATCAGTCGCTACTTGGAGCTGACCATCGAGCCGGTGCAGCAGGTACATGGCTGTGACCTACAGCCAAAGGACGAGAAGGGTGGGGAAATAGTTGTGGAAAGCTTCTTGGAGGAGGTGACACTTTAGCTGTGGGATGGGCAGAATGAGGCAAGAAAGCATGTTAAAGGAGGAAGGAGCTCTCTAAGGCCTCAGTGGAGGCCAGGTGAAAGACTGGAGAGGAGGCAAGGGAGAGATTGTCCCACTGTGGAGCCTGTCATCCCGAGGGGCAAGAGTCCAGAAGGCAACAGGACCAGAGACTCAGGGTTATATGTGCCTTTTAGAGGCGTCACTCAGGCAGTGCTGGGGGGCAGACTGGCTCTCCTTGCCAGCTCTTGTGCCATCCCCGGTGTGCGTCCTAATGCCTTCCCCTCCCTCAGTCCCAGTCCCAGCAGTGTCACCACACGGCATCCCACACTTGCCATGTCCAAACAGAACTTGGGATTGCCATGTCCTCTCCCTCCCCCGTCCTCTTCCTGGCAGTTGGTCTAGCCTCAGACTCCTCTCTCCCCCTCACTGCATGTCCACTCCATGTGTGAGTCTCCTAAATACCGCCTTTAAAATAGAGCCAGCAGCCTCCTACCTCATTCCCTTCTCCACGGTCAGACTTGTCCCACCCCCTCCACCTGTAGTCAGCAGTCAGAAGGGGCAATTACATCGTGCTCCTTCCTGGTCCCAAACGCCCTGGCTTCCCATCTCATACAGAAGAAAATTTAAGACCCTGGAGCCCAGCGCTCCCTCCCTCCCCACTCTCTTCCCTCTTCACTCACTCCTCCTAGCTGCCTGGGATTTCTCTCCATTCCTGTGCCTAGAATGCTCTTCCTCCAGGTTGCTTTTATATGGTGCCTCCTTCCGGTCTTCCAGACTTCTCTGGGGGACTCAGTCTGTTGAGCGTCTACCTTTGGCTCAAGTCATGTCCTGGGATTGAGCCCCGCATGAGCTCCCTGCTCAGGCGGGAAGTCTGCTTCTCCCTCTGCCCCCCCCCCCCCGCTCATGAGCTCGTGCTCTTTCTCTCTCTCTCTCTCCCTCTCTCAAACAAATGAAATCTTAAAAAATAATAATAATAATAAATGTCACCTTCTCAAAAGCCATCCCTGACTACACACTCAAAAGTAGCCTCCACCTGTCATATATCTCTATTTTTTTTTTTTTTTTTTTTTTTTTTTTTTGAGGGGGAAGCAGGCTCTCTGTTGAGCAGCAAGCCTGATACTGGGCTTGATCCCAGGACGTTGGGATCATGACCTGAGCTGAAGGCAGAGGCTTTAACCCACTGAGCCACCCAGGCGCCCCAATATATCTCTATTTTATTGCCTTTTTAAATGTTCTACAAAGCACTTCTCACTATCTTTTACTTTTGTTTTTGTCTGTCTCCTTCTGAGATGTAAACTTTGCCTCCTTCTATCTTGTTTGCCCAGCCACTGGTGCATGTGGCCCTTGGTAAAGGATGTTTGGACGTTTTGGAGCAGGCTTGGAGCTCAGTAGTAGTGGCCCCGGTGGGATGGGCTGGTGCTCAGAAAGAGTTTGGGCCTGAAAGATGGGTTTTACTCTTTGTTCTGTCTCCTTGGAAAGTGGGCACAGGTAACTCCGGGATGCCAGTACTGTTCAGAGAGCATGCTTTCACAGTTAAGAGCCCACCTAGGCTGTTAAACCCTTCTTAGGATGGGAAGTCTGGGGAGATAGCAGGGAACCTGGCAGCATCTGGGAACATCTGGCACTAAGAAACTTTTAAATTATCAAACTTTTGAAAAATAATAGTGCAAAGCTTACATTCAGTCTAACCCTTCCAGCACCTGAATCTTGAATGGATTCCTGCTGCAAAACAGACTCCGTGAAAGAAAAGTGTGTCCCTCCTTTATTCTCCTCTACTGAGGCATCTGGCACATTTTTGAGCAAATACACCCCCTTGGCTTCTTCCTTCTGTGTCCACCAGAGGGCCACTGCCCTCTGTCACTGAGGCGGCTCCCAGCAGCCAGCCTGAGCCCTGAGGTCCAGCCTGGGGAAGGACGCTGCTTCTCTGGGCTCTAGGGCCACCACTGCCAGTGTGTTTATTGAAAGCTAACTACTTGCCAGTCTTTGAGACAGTAGTAACAGCCACCGCTTCCGTGATGCTTCTTATGCTAGTCATAGCGCTTAGATTACTGGACTAATAAGTGCTTTGTAACCAGCCATAGAAGTGATCCCTGTGATCTAAGTGCTTCCTGTACATGAACTCATGTAAACCTCACAGCTGACCCCTAACCTCATTTTATAGATAAGGGCACAGAGAGGTTAAGCAACTTGCTCAGTGTCACACAGTTTGTCAATGGCAGAACCAGGATTCAGACCTGTCTGTGCCCTTGACCCCCAGACAACACTGCCTTTTACTTGACATAATGTCTGACACCAAGTAAGCATTTGATAAATGGTTGGCTTTATTTATTTATTTTTTAAAGATTTTATTTATTCGACACTGAGAAAGAGAGAGCATACAAGCAGGGGGAGCAGCAGACAGAGGGAGAGGAAGAAGCAGACTCCCCGCTGAGCAAGGAGCCCAAGGCAGGGCTCAGTCCCAGGATCCTGGGATCATGACCTGAGCTGTTTAACCTACTGAGCCATCCAGGCACCCCAATGGTTGGCTTTCAAATTATTATTAATGCAAATTCTCATAACTATTATTATTTCTATTGTTATTATTGAATAACTGTTGTATTATGATTTTAAATTGAGGCACAGGGAGGGTTAAGTAACTTGCCCAAGATCTCATACTTAGGAAAGCATAGGAATGGCTTTTAAGCCTGCCTGAGCCTGGGACCTGAGCTTTTTTATTTTTATTTATTTATTTATTTTTAAAGATTTTATTTATTTGACAGAGAGAGATCACAAGTAGGCAGGGGGGTGGTGCAGAGAGGCAGGCAGAGAGAGAGGGGGAAGCAGGCTCCCTGAGTTAGGAGCCTGATGCGAGGCTCGATCCTAAGACCCTGAGATCATGACCTGAGCTGAAGGCAGAGGCTTAACCCACTGAGCCACCCAGGCACCCCAGACCTGAGCTTTTTGAAGGAGAACATGTTCTCTGTGCTCATTTCATGCCCTGCTCAGTTAGCCAATTTTTTTTCTTTTTTTCATGACAATGTCCTGGGGGGCAAGGTTGTGATGAACTAGGTCCCTTATTGCCATGGGCATCGCTGTGTGTCCTGTCTGCACAGCTGTCTGGGAGTAGACAAGGCCCACAGGGATGCTCACTTATCTTCCCAGCAGTCCCTCCTTGGCACTGGGCCCAGGGAGAGGTTTCCCGGGAGATGCAGCCGAGTTTAGGGTGAGTTCAGGGGCTGAATGCTGTGGGGTCATGGGGATCAGTGACTTGGAATATTTGAAAACCCAGTTCAGGTGTCATCGGGCCCTGAGGAATTTACAGACTCTAACATTGTTGTTGCCTGGGGCACCTGTCTAGCCAACTCTCACATAAAATCATGCATGTGACCCACCCGGGGCTGGAGCCCTGTGTGATTTGGGGCCCAGTATGAGTAGCCAATCTCACGTGTCCGGGACATTCACATCTTAGCCCTGTGGACCGCCCCCCTTCAAAAGAGACAAGGCAGGGAATACTATCCCCTTTGCTGGATGAGGAAACTGAGGCTCCAGGAGGATGCGTTTCTTGCCAAGGTGTGTGGTTCACTGTGGAAGAAGTGGTTCTAGAAGGCAGGCTGTTCCCCTGTGGTATGTCAGTGGAACGACCCAAATCCCACCTGGTTCTGAAACCCCAGCCAGCAGGGCTTTGGGGATCTCCAGGAGAGTCCCCGGAGCCCTATGGAGGGAAACTCTCTCCTGAGATGGATGGATGGATGGACGGACCGACGGACAGACAGAAATCTTGCAAGTTTCTTCCTCCTTTTACCCTCGGGAGCTGCTGGGTGGGTATGAGGCCATGCAGTGCGTTTTGGTAGTAGCTCTCCAAATCACAAAAGCTCATACTCTCTGATCCAACAATTCTGCTTCTAGGAATGTATCCTTTAAGTACCCTGAAACCTTGGATGTACAATAGAATTTCCTGCAACCAATGTTGTAAAAGCCAGAGATAGGAAATGCCTTCAAAGTCCAGTCAGTAGAGGACGGTTTTGCAGTTTGGGAACACCTACAGGATGCCACGAAAGGAACAGAAAGAGCAACAAAGCCACTGCTGTAGAACGATCCCCCTGACATATCGTGAAGTGAGACAACTCATGATGCCTAGGAGAGTGTAGATGTGTTGCCACCTTGCGTCAGCGAGGGAGCTGTGTACTGCATTTGCTTGGATATGGAGAGATCAGGAACCCGAGCCTGGCTGCTCCTGGGGAGAATTGGGTGGCTCCGCATGCAGGTGGGGGCCGACCTTGCATTCTACACCCTTCTGTACCTTTTTTAAAAAGATTTTATTTATTTGGGGGCCGCCTGGGTGGCTCAGTGGGTTAAGCCTCTGCCTTCGGCTCAGGTCATGATCTCAGGGTCTTGGGATCGAGCCCCGCATCGGGCTCTCTGCTCAGTGGAGAGCCTGCTTCCCCCTCTCTCTCCCTGCCTGCCTCTCTGCCTCCTTGTGATTTCTGTCTGTCAAATAAATAAATAAATAAAATCTTTAAAAAAAAAAAAGATTTTATTTATTTGAGTGAGAGCGCGAGTGCATGAATTGGGGGAGGGGCAGATGAAGACGTAGATTCCCCGCAGGGCAGGAAGCCCCATGCGGGGCTCAACGCCCAGGACCTTGAGATCATGACCTGAGCTGAAAGCAGCCGCTTAACCCTTGGAGCCACCCAGGCGCCCCTTGTCCCCTTTGAATACTAGAGTATTGGAATGCTTTGACAATTCAAACATAAAGCAAGCTAAGCCTCCCTGCCTGCCCTTCCCCATACAACTTGCAGGCAAGCTGCAGCACCACCAGGCTGCCCGGCGATGGACAGATGAGCCCTGGAGACGCCACCCTAGAGGAGCCTCCCTCGTACCCTCCCGTTCAGGTCATCCGGGCCCGCGTGTCTTCCAGCAGCTCCTGCGAGGTCTCCTCCATCAACTCGGACCTCGAGGTACACGCTGCCACCCGCCAGGCGCATGGCTGTCCCCACTGCCACTTGCCGGTGCCTCCACGGGGCTTGCACCGCTGTTCTCGAGGCTGCCCACGCTAAGCTCACACTGGCTGGGCGGTGAGCGAGCACGCATGGCGCTCCCGCCCCCGGAGGCGCGCACGCCGGGTGGGACTGAGAGCTTCCCACGTCAGATGAGTTAGGGCCTCAGGGCGTGTTGCAGTGCTGTCTTAGAGTCATCTGCATGTTCCAGTCTTAAAACGCACAAGTAATCGATTAACTTTCAGAGTCTGAGTGTTCCCCGATCTCATTTGACCATGGAGCATCTCTTCCCCGGCAGGAGCACCCGCTACCCGCATGGCGCTATCAGGGTCGCATACAGGAGCCCCTTGCTGGGCACCGTGCCCGGTACTTTGGCAAACTTCGCCTCATTTTGAGTCTTTGGATCTGTGAACAAAACACAGGTCATATTTTGGATGCCAAAAGTGGCTGTAACTCTCGGGTCCGAGCTGTTCGGTCACTGTCGGGCCCCCAGCTGTGGTTCCCAGCCCGGTTCTAGGAGGAAGTTTTCCCTTTGCCTACGGAAAATGAGAACAAGGGCAGTGTTGTGGGCGTGTGATGGCAACGGGAGAGTGGCCGCCGTCTTTGGTAGGTCTTGGTTGGGGAAAGGAGGACTGTCTTTCCTCTGGCGTTTGTCTTCTACGATCTGGGAGTTAAAGTGCCCTTTTATAAAATGATGATAATGCAAATGGTAGTTGTGTTGAGTTTTGGGTTTGGGTTTTTTTAATGGCCTTATCTGGCCAAATAGTTCAGTTAGCCATCCTGGGTAAATCCCCTAAACTTGAACTCGTTGTGGACCCCAAAATCCAAAAGACTCAGAGCCTGAGTCACTGATCTGTGAATACAGTCCAGATTCCTCAGTGTGAGGTTATAGACCTTTCACGGCTACCCCAGCCTCATGGGACTCGACCTCCACCCTTATTACCTCAATGTCCACCCTGGCCATGGACTGTTCCCTGTACCCCGGCCTCTGGGCCTTTCTCCTTAGGGTTCTTCCTGGCCCATGTATCAGAAGCCTACCCAGATGTCACCTGCTGGGTGACGGTTCATCCCACCAACACACACACGAGATTAATGGCTCCTTCCTGTGAATGCCAGAACATAGACCTCTCTTACACAACTTCCATTGTTGCTGTGTCCTCTGGTGAGCTGTAGGGGCTCGTCTCCCCAACAGGCTGGGCATGAGTTTTTTGGGACTAGGGCCTGAGCTGCACTCACATTTCTCTGTCCCTTGATTCCAAAATACAGCGGGTCATTGAGGGCTGAGTTTTGAGTGAGGAGTTCTGCACCAGACTGAGCACCATTTGGGGTCTATGTATCCCCATGTCATTCAGTATTGTTTATTTCCTGGTTCCAGTCTCAGAATTTGTAGGACACCCACAGCACATGGCTTGGCAGCCTGGATCTAGCAGTCTTGGCAGAAATCTAAGGCTGGGCGGTTGAGGGGTAGGGAGGTGGGGAGAATGGGCCTGATGGCTAAGTGTGTTCAGTGAGGAGGAAAAGACAGTTAAGTCAATGGGTCAGGGAAGGGCTGGGGAGACCCAGGAGCAGTATTTGCTCTGTGGAAACAAAGGCAGCCAAAGTTGACGTAAGGACTGGACACTGACCTTGAAAAATTGGGAAATTTGTCTTGGTGGTAGGTTTGGGCCATTCTGTGATTTGTGGTCCTTGTCCTTCCCCCATTCTATTACCTCTATCTTTCTAGACATTGATTTTTTGAAACTATCTGAGTACAAAGGGGTTAGGGTCACACTTTTAAGTTAAGCAAATGGCAAGGAAGGCTTTTGCCTATGTTAAAAGGAATATAATTTCTGAAGCTCCCTTGCCCCACCCCAGCCTATGGCACAGTCCTCTAGCTTCACTCCCAAAAGCACATACACACCACAAATGACAAAGCGACTGCGTCCTGTAAAGAAATAACTTAGAATTTCACTAGATACATATGCTAACAGATCAAACGTATTGGAAAACTCCCAATACAGATGGTTCAGTAGATGAGCGGGAGATAGTGCAACAGCTGTGGGATCCGTGCCCTCAGCTGCCTCACCTTGTCTGTGTCTGTCTTGATGGCTTCTGCTTGTCCCCTCATACTCCTGAGTGAATGGCATCCCAGCTCCTACCGTGGAGGCCTGGGAGCCCTTCTGTGTGGTTAAGGTGATGTGTTTATCTCTCTGGTAGTGCTTTATGATGTTGTAACTCTCAGAGGGTGGCTGTAGGTCCATACCAACCATGCACATACCAACCATGGTGAATACCTACTTCTCGCAGCGTTGGGGAGGCAGGGGAGCAGGGGCCATCCCCACAACACTTAGTTCACTCCGTGCCTGCACGCCATCAGTCAGGATGATGGTTGTGATCGCTGACCCCAAGGACACACGAGTCGAGTCGCGTGCCGGAGGCTGCGTGCTCTGTACTTTACAAGCTCCGTGTAATCCTCCCAATAGCCCTGAGGCAGGTACTTTGTTATTCTTTTTTTTTTTGAGTTTTTATTTATTTATTAGAGAGAGAGAGAGAAAACAGGAGAGAAAGCTGGGGGGGAGGGGTGGAGGGAGAGGGAGAAGCAGACTCCCCACTGAGCAGGGAGGCCCACGCAGGGCTCCATCCCAGGACCCTGAGATCATGACCTGAGCCGAAGGCAGATGCTTGACTGAGCCACCCAGGTGCCCCTATCTTTGTTATTCTTGTTTTCCAGAAGAGGGGACTGGAACTCAGTGAGTTTAAGTAGCTTGCCCAAGAAAGCGTTCTTAATAATAGTAATGATAATAATAATGATAAAAATAAGAGGGAGCAGACGAAGGGTTCGGCCCCAGCTCTGTCTGACCCAGAAACCCTGCTGTTAACTGCCGCAGTGCCTTGGCCGGGACTCCTACTGGGGAGGTCTGCAGGATCAGGCTTATTATCCAGCATTCCCAGTTGATAGAGGAGACAAGACCCTTGCCACCCACCCTGTGCTCCGCCTGGGTGCTCAGGGCCAGAAAACACTGGGGCTTGCAAGTAAATCCAGTAACAGCAGAACAGATACAGATAAGACAGAGACAGATAAGGCGGGTGAGCTCACGTGGAGGGAGACTTCGGATTATTTTCACCTTTCCTCAAATGTGCAGGGCTGGGTTGGTCAGGGCACCCGACGGATGATGCCAGAGCTTTCAGTGTGACTCATGACCCTGGAGGGAGGCCATGTGTTTGAACCGTGTGGGCTTCTGGACATCTCCACAAGAGAGGCACGCTGCACAGAGGTAGGATCCATGGGTTCATTCGCTCGCTCACTCGCCCACTCAGCACGAGGCAGCCCGCTCCTGCAGAGCCACCGAGGGCAGACTGAGCAGATGCTGAGGAAGGGTGAATGTCCCTGTGGTCTGCGGTGGGGGCTGTGGCCCTGAAGGAGCAGGGCTTTTGGGAGTGGCCTTTTCCCTTTCTAGAGTAGCCAGCATCTGACTTTCCCCCGTTGTTGAAACTTCCTGTGCCTTTCTCCTCTCCTTTTTCCTCTCTCCTTTCCTTCCTCCCCCACCCCAGGATAGAAGAAAATATTGAGATCCAGCTTTGTGACGAAAGAATGTCTAGTCATTTTTCCCTCTGTGCTCCCTTGCGATGCCATCGATCTGGAGAAAGAAGCTTTGTAGAAATTTTAGAAGAGGCTGTTTCTGGCTTTGGAACAAAGTCTGTGTCTTGTGTACACTTGTGTGTACATGTGTGGGGGACAAGAACAGTACCGAACGCCAGATTGCTCTGTCTAAAGAGGGTCAAGTCCCTGTGCGTCCCTCCTAATTCTGTGCCTAAGGCTGTTGTTGACAACCGAGACGGCTCATTCCCTCTCCAAACCCTGCTTTCAGCACCAGTAGACCAAGATAGATTCCTTTGGATGTTTGCTATTCTGAAGACCAAATCATTCTTTTAAGGAAAAAAATTATGTGTGTGTGTGTGTGTGTGTGTGTATGTGTGTATATGTACACACATATGTAAAATATATTTAAATTGTTATAAAATATATTTTAAATACATATTTATTATATAAAAATTTATATTTATGTATACATTTATTACATACCTTTTAAAAATATGTATTTGTATTAATGGGCTATAAAAGTGCTAATTTTAGAAGGAAACACATGTAAGTATGAAGAAGGAGGCCAGACATTCCAATAAGTACCAAAGATCCAGATCAAGTTCAGGACATGCCTTCTGCCCTCCAGGGAACTGTGTCCTACCCAGACAGCGGGCACCACTTGCAATGAGACCATGAGAAAAAATACTTCCAGAAAGGTGTTTCCAGTCAGCTAGTTCCCCCAGGGGGAGCAGAGAGGCTCCCCTGGACCCCAGAGGGAAATGAGCTGTGCAGGACACAGCACAGACTCGGGCTTCTCTGGGCTCTTGCTGACCGGCCAGGCGGCCTTGGGCCCCCACTGGACTGCTTGAGTTTCAGCTTCTTTTGTACCTAGGAATCCTGAGACTTGCGCTACATGTATTACAGAGTAACTAGGAGGATCAGGTCGGGGCAGCTGGTGTGCCCCACACAGCGTCGTGGGAAGCAGGCTGGAGGCGGGCTTGGGTATGCCCTCCGGGCTTCTGGCTGTGGCCTCAGTCTGGCAGCACTCATCCTTTCTCTGGGCCTGCTCTGAAAGTGGAGACAATGATTTCGGGGAGGGCAGTGAGGCTCCACGAAGGTCTGGATGTACTGTTCCCATAAATGCTCACTCTGAAACCCCAGCTCTGGACCAGGCCGTCTTTAAGGTCCCGTGCAGCACCATGACCTTGAGTGTAAACGTGTATTGTGGAGGAGGCAGGAAGAGTTTGGGCAGGTGTGGAAGAGGAAGGTGTGGCGAGGTGAAACCCTGCCCCATCTAGGGTAGGTGCTATAGAACAGCTTAACAAACTAGAGAAATAGAAAGGGTACCATTTGGAAGCATATGGTGTAAATTTTAAAAGTCTGTAAGGTTCCAGTTCAAAAGAAAATTCACTTAATGAATTCTGGGAGAAAATCGTAGCTAGTGTGGTACCTGGCCAATCTTAGCACTTTATAATTGGAAGAAACAAAAACTTTCATCATCTTTGGTCCTGAGTCCAACACCGTGTCACCTCCCCAGTCTTGGGAGAAGTCACTTCTCCCTAAATGTAAGAGGACGCAGTCTAAAATGTAAGCCTGGAAAGTGACCGTGTTTCCTCAATGGTTAGGACACACCTCAAAGCCTACAAAAACAAAGGAAAAGTTGCCCCGTGCCTTGTAGGTGGGGGGCTATGTGTTGCTTCTTGATTTCAGAAGCACGAAAAAATGTGCTTTTAGAAAGGAGCTGAACTGACATATTACCTGCTGTGGTTCATGGAGGTGATGAAATCAGGGTCCTAAAGACAATTTCAAGACCGTGGTAATGCCCACTGACGATAAGGGAGAAAAGCCATTTGCACATTTTGGTTTGTGGGTGTATGTGTTTGTGTGTATTTCAGAGGGCTATTCAATACTGTTCATGAGGCTCTTGGAGTAGAATTATGGGATAGAATTTATTTTGTTTGTTTTTTAATTTATCTTGTTTTTGAAAAAAAAAATTCCTGCACAGAAATTAACACATTTTGCTCTTGAAATGGGGAAAGCACCAGAATATGTGATTTATTTTCACTTTTGGGGATGTGGAGAGAGTTCTCAGAGACACTGGGTTTCATTGCATCCTTGGGCACACTGTCATTTTCGGCTTAAGAAGGAACTTTAAAAAGAAATCCCGACTACTACTGCCACTAGAGGGCACTCTTCTTAAATTTTAGACAGTGATGGCGAAGTTTGGGAAAGGAAATTTCAAGCTTTCTTACCAATCCAGTTGGGGGGCTCTTAGTCCTGTTTGTTTGCTTGGCTTTAAATAAACTTTTCAAATTTTGGAATAATAGGTAGTACAGAAAGATCCTGTGCGCCTCTGCCCAGTTTCCTGTAATGTTAACATCTTACACAAGAATGCTGTTTGTCAAAACTGAGAAATTAACACTAGTACATTACTATTAAGTAAACTACAGACTTTTATTTGGAGGTTACCAGTTTTCCCATTAATATTCGTATTTTCTTCTGCATTTGATTCTTCTGCATTTAATAATGTTTTTTTAACAAACACAGCCCCTCACTGTGTAAAATCAGATTACTATTGCTACTTTGCATGAACAACTGTATTTTCGAAGGAAAGGTAAAAGTTAGCAACTTTTCATTTCTTTTTTTTTAAGATTTTATTTATTTATTTGACAGAGAGATCACAAGTAGGCAGAGAGGCAGAAAGGGGGGGGAAGCAGGCTCTCCTCTGAGCAGAGAGCCCAATGTGGGGCTCAGTCCCAGGACCCCAAGACCACAACCTGAGCCGAAGGCAGAGGCTCAACCGACTGAGCTACCCAGGAGCCCCTCTCATTTCTTTTTATTTCTGTTTCATTTGTAGAAGTTGTTTCACTTTTCAACCCCTGCGTCCTCCCAACATTTCTTTCATTTGCAGTATGTTGAACTATCATTTTAGTAATTTCATATCTTCTCCAATTCACCCTGGTTTTTTAAAATTCTGTTTTGTTTTTTTGTTTGTTTGTTTTGTTTTTTCAGTTTATGTCTCCCTCCCACAGCAGGAATTATCACGAATCTTGTTAGGTCTAATAATGCACTGTTCTTAGGATTTTTTAGAAAATGTCCTTATTTATGAGAGACATGTTGAAATATTTACAGATGAAATTATTTTAAAATACTTAAGCAAATAAAAAATTGGAGAGCTAGAGCAGATAAAGCAGGGTGTGTCCATGGGTGTTCATTAGGTATTCTTTTATTGGTATGTGGTTGAAAATCTACAATTAAAGAGTTGTTTAGTGTGCCTGGGTGGCTCAGTGGTTTAAGCCTCTGCCTTTGGCTCAGGTCATGATCGCAGGGTCCTGGAATCGAGCCCCGCATCGGGCTCTCTGCTCTACAGGGAGCCTGCTTCCTCCTCTCTCTCTGCCTGCCTCTCTGCCTGCTTGTGATCTGTCTGTCAAATAAATAAAATCTTTAAAAAAAAATTGTTGGACCTTCAACTTAAAAAAATAATAATTTTAAAAATAATTTAAATTTAAAAAAATTTTTAAAGATTTTATTTTATTCGTTTGAGAGAGAGAAAGAGAGAGAGAGAGTGTGTGCACGCACAAGCATGGGGAGCTGCAGCCAGAGGGAGAAGCAGGCACCTACAGCACAAGGAGCCTGAAGCCAGACTCGATCCCAGGACCCTGGGATCATGACCTGAGCTGAAGGCAGATGCTTAACCGACTGAGCTACACAAATGTTCCTAAAAAGAATTTTTTTAATGGAATTTAAAAGAATTGAACAGTAGAGGCTTTGTTGTAATGTGACAAAGCTACAACGTCTGGACTGTGCAGATAGGCAGCTGTTCGACGGACGGAGAAGTCTGCCGGACACCTGCAGATTCATAACTCTATGTCGGAAACACGTATCTCCCAGGCACTGCATGAGGTGCTGGATGAACAAGAGCAGACCATCCTGCAAACTTCCAGAACCTGAGTCAGACATACTCGAGCCTTGGGGTGGAACCACCCATGCAGTAAAGGCTAATTAAAACTGGATCTTGGTGCTAGAAAATACTCTGTATTTTCAAGGGGATTTTATTTGCGTCTTTCTTAGTTTTATGGGTTTGAGTTGACTCATCTCAGCCACGTGGTTAATAAGTGGAAGATTTATTATTATGCCTGATAATAATAATAACTTCTAATAATAGTAATTTTAAAATCTAGTACAGATTATAATTTTTCCAAGGACCTGCAGCCCTTTGTAATTATCACAATTATCCTATTGATCATTTAGCTAGATTGTAGCCACCAGGAGCTGCTGCCTTTCTGCTTGCTCAAGTCCTCTGTTCCTCTGCCCCCAGATCACTGCAGGGCCCTGCCGCCTCGCTCACTGGGCAGACCGTGCTGGCGCTGAGCCCTGCTCTGCTCTGCTCTGTGACACTGGCGAAATCTCGCCAACACTTGTTTCCATCTTTCTTTTTATTCTGCAGCAGAAGTATTGGGAAGCCCTAAACTCGGAGCAGGTACGGATAATCATACTCTCTCTATTCCAGAAGGGACGTCCTGTGGCTTGATTCCATTTCCTGTTTTTGTGAGCCCTTCTTGGATGGCCGGGCCATGCCACATTCCTTTAGGTTAAAAAAAAAAAGAAAAGAAAAAAGAAAACAAGAGGCAAGTCTGAGGATCAGGGGATTTTCCAGCCTCTCTCAGTTCCAAGTACTTTCTGCTGTGCCCCAAATCATCAGGTAGGGACTCAGAAGATGTGGAACCCCAGAAGAAGCATGGTTTGGCAGACAAGCCCATGGACAAGCCGAGTAGCGGCAGGTTAGCGGTGGTGGTGGTGGTGCTGCTGGGGGCCGGCTGCATCCCCCCACACCGTCCCTCTGGGACCCTGGGCAGCTGGCGCTGTGTCCATGCCTCCCTGGCCTGCAGGGGAGAGCTGAGCTTGTCTGATGACAACTACCTGTGCTGCTCATCTCCCAGGATTCTTTCTGGTAAGGGTGGAGATCATCTTTTGCTCAGATTTTCTTTTGGCCTGGATTCCAGCAATGTTTTCATTGCTTAAGATGAGGTTTCAAAACGCATTCTTCCAGGAATTCGGAAGGAAGAGATTTAAAATGTTTCAGACGCTTCACCCACTTCAAAGAGTGCACTTGATCGAAGAGGCTGGCTGTTTGGTGGCCGCTGAGTTGGTCAAGAGTACAAAGAACAACTCTGGAGAAGCTCTTTCGGGAGCTGGAGCGGTGATTCTGAAATATTGCGGCGGCTAAAAGTCACCCGAGGCACTTGTTAAAATGTCAAACCTTAGGTCCCAAACCAGAGAGGGGCGAGGGTGGATGCCCGGCATCCGTCTTTTTTTTAATGAGCACCTTGGGCGCTTTGGTTGAGGTTGATCACAGCCCGCTCCAAGAACTGTGATCTGGAACGTGGGCCTGAGCCTGAAATCAGCATTCATCACAAAGCATACCATCCACCCTCAAAGAATGGAACAGGCCCCTACTTCCGCCCCTGGGCACTATCCTCTTTGGTGATTTGCTTGTTATCTCCCGCCCATGTCTGCAATCAAGCATAGATAAGTTAGCGCTTGAAGTGGCTGGCACAGTCCGATAAGTTAGCGCTTGAAGTGGCTGGCACAGTCCCAAACAGGTACGGGGCGGGGGTGGGGGGCCGAGCTGCAACAACCCAATCAGCTTAGTCCTTGGCCCACGGGGTTACGGGAGGAGGTGGCCTTTTTAACACGATGCTTTTTTAGGCACCAAGTAGTGGAACTCAGTTCAGTTATCAGTAAATCACTAATTGAATTGGGCTCTTCCTATTTCAAACAAAGCCACATTTTGTATTTTATAACTGGCATGCTGCGGGCATTTCTCTCAGTAGCTCAGGGAGCCCTACAGACCTTATCTAGGACCCTTAGGACTGGACTGTTGGATTGAACTTAAGTTTGAGCAGCTGGCAGAGTGTTTTTCTTGGAGGGCATGCCATGACTGGCTGTTTCCTTGCCTGGCTAGATCATCTGGCCTAGGCAGACACAATCTTTTCCTATGTTGTTTCCTGGGTCTCTTGATACTGTCAAATGTGACCTTGTCACTCCCGAGTTATCAGTCATAGAAACTCAGAAATTAAAGAGATCATATTTAGTTGCTGATCCAACACCCCAGCTTACCCATCGAGAAACTGAGGCCCAAAGAAGAGAAAGCAAGTTAGTGGCAGAAGGAAGACTTGAGTCCAACCCCCGCTTGCCTCCGTGGCTGGACTCCCCAAGAATTCCCTGCTCTTGGCCCCACGCAAAGTTCTCTCTCTCCTTGGTCACATGAGAACAAGAGGAGGACTTTGCAAACCATGTATCATCAATGCTTATATGACTTGCTTCTTTTTCTCAGCCTTTTGCTCCTAAGCTTTTCCATACTTGTGTGAGTCAGAATAATAGAATAATCACTGGCAGTGACCACCTTCTCAATCAAGTTTTAAGTGTTTGCTTTGGACAAGTCTGCTGAGCCTCAAGTTTAGAGGAAATGGCGTGGTGGGGAGGAGGGCCAGGTGGCAAGGGCAGACTGGTGCTCTGCTCATAAGGAACTCATCCTCTACCTAAAAGGACAAGGCAGTGCCCATGTTCAGCTACAAATGACTTGTACAGGCAATACAAAGAAATAAGGGTGTGCAAGCTCAATGGGTAAAAGCAGTCAGAGTAGGCTTCCTGGAAGAGGAGGTTACCTATCTGGGCCATAAAGAATGGGTTGAATTTGCCTGATCTATTCCAGGAATGACTTAGGCATGGAGGTGGGAAATCTTGGGATAAAAGGAACATGACTCATTCTCACTAGAGTAAAGATGGAAAAGAGGGGGGTGGGGAGTGGGTCTGTCCGTTCTGGGTGGTTGTCCGTTAACTCCTTGCTTTAAAGTTGTATGTGTCCCATGAGTTCCTAGAAACGCAGGCCTGATTAACCTGCCCTTACTGTTTCTCCTTGTCTGTGCCTGGGTTGTGAGAACTAGGACTGGAGCTGTTGTTAGCCGTGGCGCATTGTAAGAGATGGGAAGCACCTGTTCCATCCAGGTACCATTTGTGTCTTTTCTCTACAGTGGGACCCTGAAGACGTAAACCTTGAAGGGAAAAAAGACAACGTAGACATGCTCGGATCCCAGGCACACAGGGGCTCCATGGGGCCAGTGGTCTTGATGTCTGACGAAGAACACCTAATGCAAGGCCATCAGCTCAGAGCCCTCAGCCAAACGTTTGTCAGGAACGGAGCAGGGATCAACCTGCAGTGACCCCCATGGCAGGCATCTCAGCTTCTGCAGAGGTGGCTCATGAAAGTGAGGAGCTGGGTGTGGTCACTGAGCTTGGCTGCTCTGCGCTGTGGCTCAGAACAGAGCGAAGACTCCCGGTCCCGTGGACAGACCTGGGCATGCGCAGTTTGGTCTGAAGATCAGAAGTTCACAGACCACTCTTTGAAGTAGAAACTTTCATCTAAAGGTCACTGGGCCCTCTTCCGATTCAGCTATCCTCCACATCTCTGCTAGGTGCCAGGAACGAGTTCATCTAACAGGCAGCTCCTATGTTTGGATCTTCACGGAGCCCCATTCTGCAAGTCCTGGCTACCCCCAGGAGATGAGAAGGGTGGGCCCATATGCAGATCTAGGACACCCTCACCAGTGCTGATGGGACCTGGCTCCCATCAAAGTTTTCTGCTTCTGGAGTTTTCTGCTGGAAGTTGGAGATGGGACTGCTTGGTCGGCCAGAAGTTTGTGAGATCATGGTTATTGAAAGGGCAAGCTAAGTTCATTGCTCTAGGTACCAGGAGCTGCTCCAACCAGCCAAGGTGTGTGCTGGGCAGGGTTTGCAGGTGAGCGGGCCTGTCTGCTTCAGGAGCTAACATGAAAGAGGCACGGTGGGAGGTGTTAAATTCAAGCACAGTCTTCTCATTTTAGCATTATTTTGATACCATGATCACGGGAGAAGGGAAGGTTGGAGGGAATGGGACCGAGGTGGGACTGAATAAATTTACTGGAGTGAGTAAGTCATGACTGAGTTGCAGCATCTCACTGTGGAGTGCAGAGATGGCTGAATCCCACCACAGCCACAAAAGCCAGCCATGAAGGGAACTGGAAGGCATGTCAAGAAACATAGCTTTGCTCCTGGCTGGCCCCTCAGAGCCTGTGTGACTTAGTTGCACTTACCCAGTTTCTCCAAAGGGGTTAGTTTAAATCCCAACAGCATGAAGAAGGGGGTGCCTCAGGAAAGCAAGGGGATTCCACAGACCTCAGCGGAGATCTCAATTTTTTGAGTGGCCTCTGAGCTAGAAGTGAACTTAAAGCCACCCTATTTATCCCTTTTATCCAACTGCTCTGATCCCTTGGTGTCTTGAAATGGGAGTTTGCCAAAGCCAGTTTTGCTTTGTGCTCTTAACCGTGGAAGCTGTTCTTGGAGAGGAGATAAGAGTTGAGTGGGGGATGGGCTGGAGAGTGCATTCCAGAAGAAATCCTGCAGAGGACTGGACCCAGGGAGGGATGGAATCCAGTCCAGGAAAGAGGAAGCTGATGTGGCCAGAATGGATGGCGCAATCTGGGCTAGGTGGTGAATGAGGCTGGCAAGGAATCAGACCACACAGGCAAGGGAGTTAGCACTTAATACTGTGGCTCATTGGCAGCCGTGACCAGTACTAGAGTAGGAAGGTGACTGACATGCCTCTGGTAGGCCACAGCTTTTCAGGAAGCAGAAATGTAGTCATGGGCACAGTATGAACATGGAGAACATATTTAACTGGAGCGATAGCAGCAGGGCAGAAGGTGGGCTCATCTTTAGAAAGGCAAGAAGGCCCAGGGATAGGATGCCATCTCTGGAATTTACCTTTCGCATATCCTCCTCTCAAGAGGAGGCTGGCCCATGCTCCCAGGGGGGTACCAGAAATTGCCCGAGTCTTGATGAAACGGCCATTTACCCAAGAACATCAAATAGTCTCGCTGATTTAAGCAGCACAAACTACCTGAGTCCCAGATGTTGTCTGTCTCCCTAGTTCCCATCATCCCAGCCTTCCTTCACAAACCAGTTCCTCATGTTGTGGTCCAATCTTGTCTCAAAGCTGAATCCTGAAGAAGTCTCTTCACCCAGAGTGAACTATTAAACTGAAAATTTTGGAAGCAAACTTTGGCCTCCTTGTTCAATAAGAACCTGTCTGTTATGCAAAGCTCTGGAACTCCAGAGCCTTTGTAAAGAGGTGCCAACCCAAACTCTTTTCTCCTAGTCGGAGTGTCCCTGTCCTGGGCCTCCATTGCAGCCTCATCCCTGTTGGACCAGGAGGATAATGGGAGTTACTTGCCCTGAAGACTCACTGAGCAGTGAAAGGGTTACGGACAAGGGAAAAGGCTGGGAAACAAACTGTCATCATCTTCTCTCGCCCACTCATCTGGATGTGAGTGATGGTTTAATGTGGCCTCAGTTGTGCTGCCTATCTCCATGGCTTGGAGCATGCTACCTAACCTTTGTGAACTGAGTGAAACAATACCTATCTACAATGCCTGTTGTGAAGACTAAGTAAATCAACATACATGAACTGCATAACACAATACCTAACTCTCAAAGTAACCTTGAAAAGGGATTAGTTTCCATTCTCCCTAGACCTGCTGGGCACTTAGGTGCTCAAAGGGCTGTCAGTAACAAAAAATATCAGACTCACAAATAGAATGATCTTCAGAGGGTTGAATCCCCTCGACAACCCTAATAAATGATTATGTAGCCTCCACTTAAGATCTTCCCAGAAAGAGAGAGATTTCACTATTGTATATTCTAATGTCTGTATCCTTTAGGGAGAGTTCTGATCACTAAGACTTTCTTAAAATCCTGTCTAGATCCTGAAAAACCACTGTCTCCGTATCTCCTGTGAGCAACATCTGAGGCCACACATCATGTTTGTTACCATGGGATATGAGCCCCTACAGAGTAAGGAGAGGCACTCCGGCAAGGCGTGTCACTGGGCTCTAACTCCCAAATCTGATTTGGCATGATCCTTGTCAAGTCATTTTTCTTTCTGGGTCACAGTTTGCTCATCTGTAAAATGAAAGGCCAGCTTGCTTTCTTCCCTTCTATGAATGTGCTGGTGAATTTGTTTTCCACAGAAGATGGACATCTTTATAAACTCTCTTAAGACAAATTTCAGATTTACTTTGAAAATGGGATTCAAGGGGCACCTGGGTGGCTCAGTGGTTGGGCGACTGCCTTCGGCTCAGGTCATGGTCCTGGAGTCCTGGGATCGAGTCCCATATCGGGCTCCCAGCTCCGTGGGGAGTCTGCTTCCCCCTCTGACCTCCCCTCTCATGCTCTCTCTCACTGTCTGTCTGTCTCTTTCTCAAATAAATAAATAAAATCTTTTAAAAAAAAAAGAAAAAAGAAAATGGGATTCAATATATAACCATAGTTCTGTTTGGATTTTGCTATCCAATGAAGATAAAATTTGTCTTTGTAACATGAAGGGATCATGGGATTTGACATTTAAAAATTTTGCAGATTCCTTTCAATACTGAAAACCAAAAACTATGCCACCTTGCTTCCAAACTTGGGGATTCTGGTGAGTTCATTTAGTTTATTAAGAGGCTCTATTATTGGCAGTTTATTTTGGTGAAGTCACATTCTTGCTAAACCATGTCTTATATTGAAGGAAATATGAAAAATATTTTCCACAGTGTGAGAAAAAGGAACTGGCTCAATCACTGAGAAAAAGGATACTGATGTCTTAGGAGTGTCTCAAGACTGACTTCAGAATACTTTCAAGATTGTCTCCACTTCTTTTTCCTTGCCTACTTGATCATTCTTGGCACTTTCCAACGATGTGGGCATTGGTCTACTCTCTCCTACTTTACAATGTTACCCCCACACACACACACCGCCCCATGTTCAGGTCAATGCTTTGGCGGAGAAGCCTCGGCCTTGAAACAAGCCCAGATACGGCGCAAGGCTGACGCAGATCTCTTCAAGCTTACATATCCTGCCGGTAGAAATCCAAAGGTCACCATCAGGTGAGAGGGACGTTCTTAAACAAGAAAGAAGTTCAAGAAATGGTGCTAAATCGAATGATTTGGAGAACATCGGCTTTGCTTTTTCCTTACCAAACTCTGAAAGCTAAACAAGGCACCAGGCACTGCTTCTTCTGGGTCAGACACGTCAACAGCGCGTTAGCTTTTAAGTGCCTTCAGATTCACTGCAAACTGATCTGTTCCTTGGAGAACGAACGCATCACCGTCTCCCGACTCCGCCAGGCATTTTCTACCGGCTGCCGGCACTGGCGGTCGAGAGCCCTGCTCTTCTCTTCCGGGGTCCTCGGGGTCTGCAGCTGCGATTACAGCAGGGCTTAGCCCCTATGGGGGACCGTCAGGGGCGCTTGCCCCTCCTCAACCCCTGCGGACCCGATCAGAACTGAATCCTGCCTCCTACTGCCGACCTCCTCCCGGAGAAGCTGCCAAACCCCAGCGTCCCGCGGTCGGCTCAAACCACCGCCGGGCACTTCCGGGAGGGGAGGTGCGGCGCGGCTCAGCGCGTGCGCACTCCGCGGCCACCGCCTCCCTCCGGCTCGGCCGCGCGCGGTTTCCAGCCTCGCGGCGACCGCGCGAGGACTGGGGAGGGTCGCCTAGGGGCTGCTGGTGTCAGGATCGCCATTCTGGTGTTTTAAGGGAATCGTTCTGAGAAGATGTTACCGTGACTAACGTAGTTGACATCACTTGACATCCTTTACGGTATACTGTAGATCAGTCTTGTGTTTTAAATACACATTTAAAAAAAAAATAAAGATAGTGCAGGTAATGTTTGTTTTCAAAAAAGAATCAGGTTGTAGCAAAATGTTTATGAAGAAAAAGAACAGTGCCCTGCTCCTCCCCTCTGCCCTCAGCAGCCCTCCTTCTCAAGCAACCGTCCTTTTTCTTTCTCTTTTTCTTTTTTCTCTTCTGTTCTTTTCCCTCCCCTCCTTCCGTTCTTCCCCTCCCTCCTCCTTCTTCCCCCTCCCTCTTCCTACCAGGGTTTTGTTTTTTTTTTTTTAACTTTATTTATTTGACACAGAGAGATAGCAAGTAGGCAGAGAGGCAGGCGGGGGTGGAGGGGGTGGGGGGAGCAGGTTCCCTGCTGAGCAGAGAGCCCGATGTGGGGATCGATTCCAGGACCCTGAGATCATGACCTGAGCGGAAGGCACAGGCTTAACCTACTGAGCCACCCAGGCGCCCCTTCCTACCAGTTTTAACCTGCTGCTTGTAGTTTTCTCATTAGGTTTGATTTCAAACACGCTTTTTGACTCTCAGATTCTAAGATTATGCTTTTTTCTCTTAGCTGGATTATCTCCAGTTTGCACGAATTCCGGGCTAATAGGAAAGAGCAGCTTCACGTGTGTACTGAGCACTGTGTATAAAGAACTGTCTTCACATCCTGTGGGTTGATATGGGATCAGCCTCCAGTGCCAGAGCTTCTTTGGTTACGTGGTGATTCCTAAACCAGCTTCCAGCT